ATAAACATATTTGTAAATAAATAAAATATGAAACAAAAGAATAAATAAAATATATATGAATAAGAATCTAATATAACTTGAAATAATAAATATAAATAAACAAAAAAGATTAAAACAAACAAACAAATAAATAAATGTTAAATAAATTAACAAAGATAATAAAAAATATAAAATACAAATAACAAATAAATACGAATATAAAATAAATAAATGATTAAACAAATAATAAATAATAAACTATTAAAAAATAATTAAAAGAGAATAAAATATACATGTATAAACATAAATAGATGAATAAATAAAATAAAAAATACATTTAATAAATCTATTAATTAAAACATTTATGAAATATAAATAAGTAAATATATTTAAATGTGTAAACAATGATAACAAAATACCAAAAATAAATAAATAGATTTACTTAGATTGTTCTAGCATTTATATACAGCTATTCTGATAATGTGAGGTGCCTTTTTATCCTCAATTGAATACAAGCATCTTCTAAAAGAGCAAATGTAAGCTGCAAAAACACAAATAAATCTAAAGATAATAAAATATAAATCAATAAATAAAATTATATAAAAATACATAAACAAACAAACAAAACAGACATCATAGCATGCTTTTATCCTCAGTTATGTAAAAGCGTCTGCTGAATGAGCAAATGTAAGCCATACAGTATATGTGTTTGCCACTAGACTAACCTCTGCATAACGTAACATCAACACTGTGCAAACGTACTGTCCACAGCTGTTTGGATTGGATCCTGGAATATTCTATATTACCTCTTCCACAACGCCAAACAAGCTTGCATCTATGCCATGTTTGCTTGTGGCAGAATGTTGTTCCATTTGTGGTTGTTTACCATCGCCAGACATAAACGTCTTTCCTCTGTACCACCTTTCAGTGCCCAAAATATGACTTCCCTTCACCTCCATACTTGAGAAAAGAGAAAATATTGATGGATAGAACATTATGGTTAGCATTATGCTGCCACTCAATGGGGTCAGATATTTAGACATCAGAAATAGCCAGCCTGGAGCGGAGGATCTGGAAAAAAAGAAGATGCTGTGAAGGAGTCTGTGATTGCCACTATGAAGCAGATCATTTTGGTTGGCCAACTACAATTTACTTTGGATGATTCACATGTGTGTTTGGTCTGTCTCTGCTACTTAAGGAGAAGAGAGGAAGTTTGGTGGATGATTTTCTTTTTTGCTCAAAAAGCTGCTAAATATATACTTGACTGTCTGCTGTGTCTTAGAGAGGTGTAGTTGTGGGGTCTAACAGCATTTCAAAGCATTGTTTTTATATCTGATTCAAAGTTACAAGTGTTGGTCGGATAACTTTAAATCTGTTGTAACGTTTTAAAATCTTTTTAATCTTATTGTATTTTGAGTTTCATACTAAAAGCATTCTTTAGCATCCTTGTCATGCTCGGAGTGCAAAGTGAAACAAACAAACAAACAAACAAAATAAATAAAAAACTAAATAAATAAATAAATAAAGAAAGAAATATCTCTAAAAGGAACTTAATAGTCTTTTTATTTGTGATTTTGTTTATCAGTCTACATTGCAATCACACTAATATATAATATTAATAATAATAATAATAGTAATTAATGTTATAATAATAATAATAATAATAATAATAATAAATAAGTAGAAATAATAATAATAATATTAATAATTCATTTTAATAATGAAAACAACAACAACAATAATACTTATAATAATAATATTAATAACAATAATAAAAATTATCATTATTATTATTATTTGTATTATGGAATATATTATTACTGTTAATGTTATTATTATTTTTATTATTATTATTTATTGATATTATTATTATTATTATTATTATTATTATTATTATTATTATTATTATTATTACAATACTATTAGTTTACCATTTAATTAGATTTAATCAGAATTGCAAATATTATTAATCAGTAATGGGTCAAGTGTCTTTATGCATTTCAAAGTTACAATTGTTAGTCACATAACTTTTATTCTGTTGTAGTTTTAAACGCAATTAGATTAAAAGATTAGGAGTTTGAAATTAATATCTCCCCTAATCCAGCATTCTTCTTCAAAATTAAATAAATAAATAATCGTCTCATCATAGGTTAAAGACATGGTTCATTTTGTTTATTTATGCATGTATTTTTATTTTATTGTGTTTAGTTTTCCTATATTTATATATATATATATATATTTTATTTTTTTTTGCATGTATTTTTTTTACTTTTTTTAACTTTTTTTACTAATACATGTATTTATTTTATACATTTTTTTATTTGTTAACACAGCTGACAAGCTCTTCATTAACACATGATGATGAAGAGAAAGCCACTTGAATAATTCTCAACATATAGTGCTTTATTTTTATTTTATTTTATTTTAGTTTGTTTTATTTTAATTCACTTTTTGTTTTAGTTTATTTATTTAATTTTTATGAATAATTTTTATTTTTATATATTTTTATTTATACAGTTGTTTGTGTGTTAACAAACAACTGACAAGCTCTTCATTAATACGCGACGATAAAGAGAAAGCCACGTGTATAATTCTCCACATATAGTGCTTTCCGCCTCTGAGGAAACAGACTGTATGTAATGTTCACACAGTATCATACAGTATCTCACACGCAAATACAAAACATCAATGAAATATAAAACCCCAATAAAAAAATGATATAAAATTTTAAATAAATAAGTAAATAAATAAATTAATTAATTAATAAATAAATAAATAAATAAATAAAATAGTATGAGCATAAAAAGGGTCTGAGCAGAAAATGGCTGTTGGATTTGAATGAAATAAAACTACTACAGGGCTTGTAATTTACTTTAATACTATATCTTCAAGGGCCTGATGTTGTTTCATCTATAAATAGGACCCACTGTTTTGGTTTAAGCAGATAATGATGGTTTTATATTGATGATTCTGCTATTATCGCAGTTTGTTGAAGAGATTTTTCTCTCAAAGCGTTGCACACTATTGAGAATCCTTACATCCATCAAGATATTGTGTGCATGGTTCTGTTTGTTTACTTCGTAAATACGATATTTCATCAGCATTGACTGTGTCTTGATATTAAAATGATAAAGATAGTTGGTTTTGTGTTTGTCTTTTTGATATATGAGACTGCAGCGGGCTCTGTTTATCACTAGATAGACAAAAACATCTGCTTTCTTTATTGCTTAGAAAAATGTGCACTACTAAGTACATCTAAAGTCAAAAAGTACATAGGCATTAGGACAGATGTTGTTTCGCAAATGGTTTGTCCTCTGTGGGGTCGTGCATCGGGTCATTTTTGCATCCGGGACTGCAGGAATTGGAGCACATTAGATGGATGACCGGTTCAGGGCTAAACTTGATAATGTATGAATTTAATATCATTGAATTACTGTATGAGAAATATTTCAAACCAATGAGGCATCTGCAAACTAATCCTGCTAGAGCTCTTGTTTTAATCAACTACTATAGATGTGTTCTTCTGAATCTATTTTTTTAGCATAATTATTACTTAGTTAATATTATTATTATTATTATTATTATTATTATTATTGTTGTTGTTACTTTTATTATTAAGTAGTATTATTATTATTGGTTAATATAATATAATATAATATAATATAATATAATATAATATAATATAATATAATGTAATATAATAATGATAATAATAAAAAATAACAATTATTATTATTATTATTATTTTTTTATGATAATAAATATAATTATTTTTATCATTGTTATTACTAATAGCTTTATTAACATTATTTAATTACATTTAAGTATTATTGTTATTAATAAACGTTATTATAACAACAACAACAATAATTGTAATGTTTATTTTATTAACAATTATATTTAAATATCATTGTATTATTAGTATTATTATAATATAATATTTTATTATTATTAAGTAGTATTATTATTATTGGTTAATATAATATAATATAATATAATATAATATAATATAATATAATATAATATAATATAATGTAATATAATAATGATAATAATAAAAAATAACAATTATTATTATTATTATTTTTTTTTATGATAATAAATATAATTATTTTTATCATTGTTATTACTAATAGCTTTATTAACATTATTTAATTACATTTAAGTATTATTGTTATTAATAAACGTTATTATAACAACAACAACAATAATTGTAATGTTTATTTTATTAACAATTATATTTAAATATCATTGTATTATTAGTATTATTATAATATAATATTTTATTATTATTATTATTATTGATATTATTAGCATCATTTAATTATATTTAAATAGTATTAATAATATATAATAATAATAATAATAATAATAATAATAATAATAAGTTATTGTTAATATTATTATGTAGTGTCGCTGCTTTTTATTATTATTATTATTATTATTATTATTATTATTATTAATAATAATATTCATTAATTATATTTAAATATTGTTATTACTATTTTTATATATTGTTGCTGTTATTTAATTATATAATTTTATTATTATTATTATTATTTTATCATTATTATTTTATCATTATTATTATTATTATTATTATTATTATTATTATTATTATATTGTTGTTGTTGTTGTTAATTCAATAATAATAAAATAATAATATTAATATTTTAATTTGTTGTTGTTGTTGTTGTTATTTTGTATTATTATTATTCAATTATATTTAAATAATAAAAATAATAATAATAACCATAATCATAATAATAACAACGACACCACATAATAATAATAATAATAATAATAATAATAATAATAATAATAATAATAATATTAATAATAATAATAATAATAATAATAATAACAGTTATTATTATTATTATTATTATTATTATTATTATTATTATTATTATTATTATTATTATAAGTTGTAGTATAACTACCTGTTATAAACTAAATAATAACCATAACAATCAACCCTATATTAAATTCTGCTATATACATTCTGTGTGTTTGTACAGGTCGATGCTGATGATGTCCTCACAAAGGAGGAGCAAATCTATCTTCTGTTCAACGCAAAACGAAAATGTGAGCGAGCAATCAAGTCAAAGCATAAAACGTCTGGTAAGTTCCAAAGGTTTTCTACTCTTAAAAACACCACTAATCACATCCACTGTCACTGAGCGCTACCTGGAGTGCAGTTTTCTTCACTCTTGGGTCAAATTAGCATTGCTCAAATGAGGTCTTTGATGGACTCAGGAGTTGTCAATACCTGAGTCTCCATAGGGAAGTGTGCCGGGTTCAAGTCCAATCACACGGATGCTGAAATGAACTGACATTGATTAAGTTGGATCTCTCCACTACCCTTCGTCAGACAGTGCCAAAGCCAACAGCATTCATTCGTTTCTATTACACCGGCCTGACACATCCTTATTTAAGACATATTTTTTAAATAGCAAGCTGTCTGTCAACATCTTGGTGGGAAAAATACTCTCGAACATCATTTACTTTTAGTCTGAAATAATTTCAAGTTTAAATTCAGTCTCTTTTTTTGTTATTGCAAAACAAGTACATGGTAGTTTGTATTTGTGTGTTTGCTGCTTAACAATTGCTTATTTCCAGATGTTTTATTATTTAAACTTGCGATTGACTGCGGTTTTTAGTTCAAATGAACACTAGGGGGCAGTATAGGGTAAACAACCTATGTTTCTTGTCACACTAATGATATTTACTGGGGCATATTATTGATGAATAAAGGATTATATACGTGCCATTCTTCGCACGCCACTAAATAAATACCACAAAACAACTTAACAGCATTCCCAATTACTTATTTCTTGAGTTTTACCTTTGTTTATAGCTAAATGAGTATTAGTAACTGCACGAAGTTGCATGTTTTGTTAAACAGGCTCATTTGAATACGTTTTAACCTATATTTTTTATGAAAACGTACTTAAACATCTGTTTAACTGCAGATTGTTGGTAAAATGAACACTAGGGGGCAGTATGGCACCAACAACTTTAGTTTCTTTTCACACTAATGATATTTACAGGGACATATTATTGACGAATGAAGGATTATTTACATGCTGTTTTTTGCATGCCACCAAATAAATACAGCCAACTTAACGGTGTTCCTAATTACTTATTTCCAGAGTTTTACCTTCGTTTATAGCTAATTAAGTATTAGTAACTGCACAAAGTTGCATATTTTGTAAAACAGGCGCATTTGAATACGTGTTTCAACCTATATACTTTATGAAAATGAACTCAAACATACGTTTGACTGCAGTTTGTTGGTAAAATAAACACTAGGGGGCAGCATGGCACCAACAACTTTTGTTTCTTTTCACACTGACGATATTTACAGGGATAAACTATTGATGAATAAAGGATTGTTTTCATGCCGTTTATCGCACGCTGTCAAATAAACACCACAAAGCAACTTAACGGCGTTCCCTATTACTTATTTCCAGATTTTTACCGTAGTTTAAAGCTAAGTGGTTGTCACTGCACCAAGTTGTAAATTTTGCAAAACAGGCTCATTTGAATACTTAAACATACGTTTGACTGCAGTTTCTTGGTAAAACGGACACTAGGAGGCAGTGTGATGACAACAACTTTTGTTTCTTTTCACACTAACGATATGTACGGAAACATGTTGTCGACGAATAAATTATTAATTATTAATTAATATTAATTATTATAAATATGAATTATTTTTGCGCAGTTTTTTGCACAGCACAAAATAAATACCGCAAAACGCTGTCTATTATTTGTAAAGAATACATTTGCATCACCTATTTATCACCTTATGGGAACTTTTAGGTGTGGTTTATACTTTAGAGCACTCTGGTTCGAGTTTGGTGAAACACGCTTCCACTAAAGAAAGAAAAAGCAATGCAAAATCAAGGTAAACTATGTGCTGGCAGTGCACCTTTCTCTTGCATCTGCTTTTGAAAACACTATTGGTTGGGTTTAGCAAAGGGTTTACCTCAGTGTTTTGCTAGGTAATCTCTAAGACAAGCTTTGCCTTCTCCTGGACGTCTACAAGAATGACGTGTATCTGAAATGTATAACAAAAAAACACCCTAATTAACGTACTACAGATTTGCAAATATGTAGACAGTGCATAAGTGTGGCAATGAATTTTACTTATGGATATATATATGTAGGCTGACTAAAGCACATTTCCGTTTTATGTCTCCAGCTTTTATCCCCCCTTTATCAAGAATGAGTTACATATTCCCACTGCATGGTGCAGTATAGATATAAAAACCTCACGTATCAGATATGATACTGTTTGCTTTGGCAGCTTCATATTTCTTTCTTATTCATTTCCTGAGCTAATCAAAAAGCTCATTTAGTGCTAATTGTCACATGGCGCTTCCACAAAAAGCAAAGAAAGGATCTAATTGCAGCAATCTTTCTTTAGCAAACAACAGCGCAGGCTAAATGCAGGAGGGAAAATAAAATACAAAGACTATTTCAGACAGTAAATGAAGTAACTGAGGAATGTGTGTGTAAACAATGGCAGACTGTAAAGACAAATGAAAACACAATTTAGAAATCATGCTAGAAGGCAACGCTGGAAATATGAGATCTACACTCCATGTGACTAATGCATAATAGGGAATATGATTTAAAAAACTGTGAAACTATTATGATAAACAGCAATGTTTATCTGATATTCATTACTAAAACATGTAATCCACCACAAGCTTATTGGTGATAAATGCTTCAACCTACGTTTTAGTTGATCCACTTCTGCAAATGTACTTAAAGTTATGCTTAAAACAGTTTTTAGGTCAAATGAACACTAGGGGGCAGTATGACGACAGTAACTTTTGTTCCTTTTCAAACTAATGATATGTACAGTTACATAATATTGATGAACAAAGGATTATTTCTGTGCGGTTCTTTGCCCAACACCAAATAAACACCACTAAACAACTAAATGCTGTCTATGATTTTTTATTTATTTTGTATTTTTTTACCTACCTATCTATCTCCATATGGCCACTTTGCTGGCATGGCAAGTTTGCTTGTAGCTAATTTTTTACAATGTAAACTATGGTGGCAGTGCACTTTTCTCCTGCTTCTAAAAACACTGTTGTTTGGGTTTAGCTGAGGGTTTAGCTCAGTGTTTCGCTAGCTAATCTGTACAAGCTCCGCCTTCTCCTGGACGTCTACAAGAAGGGCGTGTATCTGAAACAGAAAGTAGAATGTACCTGGATTCGCAAAATTGAAGACATCACAGTGCACTCTAGTGGATTCTTCATCTGAAACGTGCTATGAAATGTACCCGGAGTAACGCTAAAATGCAGTCGGTGGTACAAATTTCCTAATTTTGAAAATACTGGTAGATTGCTGATTCACATGCATGTCAAAATCTTGATGGTTCTTTGGGTCGTGTCTATTAAATCTGAGCTTTATTTGGTATTTTTTATTGGATTCAAGTCGGGATAGGCTGGGCCATTCTACAGCTTGATTTTCTTTCTCTGAAAGCATCTGAGAGTCTTCTTGGCTGTGTTTTGGATCATTGTCTTGCTGAAATGTCCACTCTGGTTTCATCTTCATCCTCCTGCTAATGCAGATGTTGGACTGAAGCAGCTGATCTTCAATTACACTGAGGAAGGGCAGAGGCTTGCTGAAGAATGACAGACAGATTTCAGCTGCTGTCTGGGCTTTCACTGCTGAACTATGCCTCCCTTTCTTCATGTGTTCAATACTTTTCCCTCCGTCATTTAATTTTAGTACACAGAACTTCATTTGTAAACTAATTAGATTTGTTTTCTTTGCATATATGGATTTATTTAGTTGTTATCAACATCCGGTGAAAATTTAAAATCAACAGCACCTTTAGAAATATGTTTTCTGAGAAAAATGGTGACGAAAAATGGTATTTATTTCCGCCATTATAGCTCCTTGACAACGTTTTTGAAACGTTTTTTTTTTTTTTGGTCCCACTTTATATTAAGTGTCCTTAACTACTATGTACTTACATCAAAAAATAAATACAATGTACTTACTGTGTTTATAATGTATTTGAGAACACTTGTGGTGCTTTTGAGTTGGGATATAGGTTGGGTTATGGACAGGTTTGGTGGTATGGGTAGGGTTAAGGGTGGGTTAAGGTGTAAGGGATGGTCAACAGTGTATTTACAAATGTAATTACAAAAGTTAATTACAGATGTAATTACATACATGTATTTAATCAAGCAAAAGTACACAATAAAGACATGTATTTACACAATAAGTACATTGTAACAAACTATTAATTCTTGTGTAAGTACATATTAGTTAAGGCCACTTAATATAAAGTGGGACCTTTTTTTTTTATCCAGACATCAGACGACTAAAGCTCTATTCTGACAGCAATTGTTACAGTAAAATTAAAACCTCCATAGCTTCTCAGCGATTACACCATGACGATAAGTTTCTAATCCTACAAACCTGGAATTACGTGTCTCACATGATCCTTCACATGCTCGGTCAGATGATGGTATTTCTATGTGGGATCCCCCAATGTGGCCTGTGACATTCACTCTCCTGCAGGGTTTAGCTGTAACCCTGATCAAACTAATGCTAGATCCACATGGGGTGTCGGTATCAGAGCTGGCATGATCGTCATGACAACAGCCAATTACATTGGACTGCAACACAACTGAGTCGAGGTGGCTTTTGACGGCCGGTCAATAACAGAGTGAGTACACCAATACTACACTTCTAGCACTTCAGTAATGCAAGTGTCAAGTTTTAATACACAAGATGCCACTATTCCGATGCAAATTACCATGAAGGGCTAAAATACAGCGCATTTCAGTGGCCGAAACAGATTTATAAAGTGACTTTGAGTTTCTAATGGAGTTCAATAATGCCTGTTTCCACTGAGTAGTACAGGTCACCTTTTTCAGGCTTGCGTTTCCACTGCCTAAAGGGTACCAAGGGTGGGCGTGGTGTATGACAGAAAGTTTCAGTCACCATTTTTACTCGAGGAAATGTTTACAGTAAAGCTATACAGGTCGTCACATATCATAATGCAAGCACTTCTCACAAAGCAGACGCTTTATACACATAAATACTTGCGTATAAATGTTTATCACTAACCTTTCTATCAACAT